GGATATTCCTGTTGGGAGTCAGAACAGGATGTTCTCCAAACGCAGACACCTTCACTACAGTCGGCCCCATTTATCACTGAGATGCTCAACTCACAGGATCTGCTCTGCTTGGCTGTGCTTGAGCAGCAAAATCCCTCATGTCTGTACCCAAAAATCACGTTCCAAGCTGCTGTGGGTTCTAGGTCTGACCTCCATTTGTTAAGTCTTCAAAGGAAGACTTTTTATCCTGGCTCTGCAGGGATTCCGGGTGGCGATCCGGCATTCATCTAACAACTTCAATGATCAGTTTAAACAGAGGGAAGGCTTAAAGCTTTACAAACCCACAAGACTGCAAGAATAAGCTCACAGTCAGGCTGCCAACCAACACTGCCCCTGCAGAAACCACACTGGTTTTCCATTCCATTTCAAAGGAAAGCTAAAAACAGCATGGAAGTTAGCTGATACCCTGCAGCGTGATATCCCTCAGCGCTTCGGATGGGGGAAATAAACCCCACTGCACTCATTTACAGTATTCAGTGGTTCCATTTACATCCTGACCACGGCATCCCATTTCATCAGATGTACACTTTGAAGCCTGATCCATGAGGAGAAAGAAAAAAGAGAAAGAAAGCTTCCGCTTGTGAAAGAAACTGCTGAAGCCTGCTGAACAGGAGAGCTTACCCCTCAGCCTCCTTCTCAGTACAAAAGGACTTACCGGATTAATCCTGCTTGTCTCTTCCAGCCCTTTCTCCTCTTGGATCTTCGAGGACAGCCAGAAGAATCTGAAGTCCGTCTGTGAAAGGACACAGAGAGTTAGTGACCATTCAACCATTCACCACACATCACCCATCAGCACCTGCTGAGTGTCTTCATTCCTCTACGTTCACTTGGGAGATTTACAGAATTGACTCCACCTACAGAATCAGCACCCCAAACCCTGCTAGTCCCCCACAAAACAAGTACACAGTTACTCCAGCAGCACAAAAGCTGTAAAGACACCTGTGTCTGGGAGAAATATCCACATTTTGCAGAGTGAGCTACATACAGAGCTGGAGCACAGCATCTCAGGGAACCACAGGGAGGGCAGAGATTCAGTACCTGGCAGTCATAAACAGGGTGTCCTCTCCAGCACATCACATCCAGGATGTAGTAGGTTCGCTGGGCCTCATTGTAGATACAGTCCAGGATGGTGTACACTGCACACACAAACACAGGGAGGTCCATTCCTGCTCCAGACTCTGCCTAACCCAACTGCCAAATGCCAGGTCACAGCTCTCCAGCATTAATCCTGCCCAGATGTAAGGCTGCTGGGCACAGAGGGACCCCCTTCTGTTAACTGTGACCACAGAAGGCCTTGAGCTTGAGGAGTCCCATGAGGCTACAAAGGGACCAGCCAGAGGCACAGCAGGCAAGGGCATGTTTCAGAAAATGGCATTTGCCAGGCAATAAACCTCTTTTTTTTCAAGGCCAAAAAAATGAACTCCAAGAGGTAGTAAGGAAGATGACAGCATACACAGGTCTCTTTCAGAGGACAGAGAGGATGTTAGGGTTTAAGAGTGTCAGTCAACCAGGCTAATTAAAAGATGTGACAGGCAATGGTTTTAAACAGGAAAAAGGCAGTTTTAAATTAGATGTCAGGAAGAAATTCTTCCCTGTGAGGGTGGTGAGGCCCTGGCCCAGGTTGCCCGGAGAAGCTGTGGCTGCCCCATCCCTGGAAGTGTCCAAGGCCAGGTCGGATGGGGCTTGGAGCAACCTGGTCTAATAGAAGGTGTCCCTGCCCATGGCAGGGGGGTGGAACAAGATGACCTTTCAGGTCTCTTCCAAATCCAAACCATTCTGGGACTTTATGTGCTTATCTAGCATAAGGCTATTTGTTCCACATCTAGTTATCTCCAGAGATACAGAAATAGGCCCGAAGTTGACTACCTATCAGCACGAAAAAGGGCATAGCTCCGGGGCTCAGGGGAGCTGGAGGAGCAGCACTGAGCCTGCCAGCACACACATTCCCAGGGAGAAGCAGGCAGCTCTCCTCTCTCTATCCCAAATGTCTCCTCACACCTGTACCTTTCTCGCTGGTTGAGTTGTGCCGGTTGCCCCCCGGCAGCAAGGATGGGAACCTGTTGACACAGAAGCCACTTTTGGTGTAAGCTGCTGTTGTGCCCTGTGAGGAAAGAGGAGAGAAATAACCCAGTCGAGCCAGCTTTATGTTGGCTGGAAACATAAAACAGGTCCTTCAGCAGCTGGTGAGACCCACCCCCACCTCTGCTACCACTTACCCTGGAGGCCACGATGAGTGCCCTTTTCCCAACAGGACACACCACCACAACCCACTCCTGCTCCAGATCTGAGGGTACATCCACCAGCCACTCTGACAGCATCAGCTACAGAGAAACCAGGAAAAAGAATCAGTAACAACTCTCCTGAAATTGATGGACAATGAACAACTCAAGAATAGAGCAAGGAGGCTATGACTTGGCTTCAACAGCTACAATGGGCATTTTACAGGCAGCTGGCCCTGCCTGTCACCCCCAAAAGGACTCCCTGTCTCTAATCAACCCCAACCTGCCTAACACACTTTTCAAGTCTTTCTTTTGCTCCCCAGCTGCTGGCTGAGATTCAGACTGCAGAACAGGGCTTACAGTCCTCGCTTGGCCACCTAACACCTTGGTCCCCACTCCAGCACTTTATTTTTAAAAACATAAAAGACCTCAGAGATTCCAAAATATTAGGATAAAGAGCCCAAATAAGCTGACCTCAAAGACTGCCCAAGTGGCTGCATGTCTTTTAGGTCCAATACAGCACCCAGGCTGATAAAACCCAGCAGAGTTTTCCTTTCCTTCCTGGTGTCCCAAACATGGGGAAAGACAGAAATCTTTAGCTGAGTGCTGCCTAACGGGGTACTAATGCTGCTAGCTGAGCTGAAATCTCCCAAAGTGGGGAATGGGGTGGTGGAGGGTTAATGGCTGGACTCAGTGACCTTCAAGATCTTTTCCATCCTAAATGATTCTAAAGCATACAGGCAGCCCATCTCCACCTGTTTTCCATTTGAACTCAGCATGTTTCGGAGGCAAACTGAGGCACGGTTTCTCTCTGAGCACCAAGCCAGGCAGTACACATCCTTCTCAGCCCCCAAACGGCCATCACCATGGCCTCAAACCACCCCACATCCCTCACCCTGGCCCTGCTTCACCCCCACATCCCCGCGTGGGGGACACGGGTGGCTCCTCACCTGATTGGCGTAGCGCTTGGGCAACTTTTTGCCAGCATCCACGTCCATCTCCTCTTCCTCCGCATCTTCCCCCTCCTTCTCCTCGCCCTCGCTCTCCATCCCTGCCCAGTCGTCCTCCGCCAGCCTCCTGGCATGGTTCACGTAGTCCAGCCGCTTCCTGGGATGGGGGGGGCGAGGAAACACCTCAGCAGGGACGCAGGTCACCCACGGCACCCCACACCCACACCGGGCCGCCTCCCCACACGCAGCCCTGGGGCGGCCTAACGCGGCCCGCCCGCCCCCCGCGCCCCCATCCCCGGCGGCGCCTGCTCCCGTCCCGCTCCCGCGCTCACTCTCTCTGGATGCGGAGGAGGCGCTGGCGGCGCTCGACCTGCCCGGGGCCGCCGCGGGGCTTGTAGGCGGCCAGGCGGGGGTGCGGCGCGGCCGGGCTGCAGGGCCCCGCCAGCCCCACGCCCGCCGCCAGCGCCGCGCTCAGCTCCTCCATGGCAACACCCGCGCCCCGCCGCCTTCCGCCCGCGCCCGCAGCGCCCCCGCGCGGCGCGGAGGCCCCGCCGCCCCCCGCAGCCCCCCTCACCCCGTGCCTCAGTTTCCCCCTTCGCCCGGGGGGCTGGGAAGGGACGCTGCGGGCCGCGACCGGGCACGGGAGAGGGGGATATCCCGGCAGGCACGCAGGAGCAGCTGGTGCCACCGCGGGCGAGGATTCGCGCCCCCGGGACCGGCTGCCTGCAGAGGGCAGCGTGCGGCTGGCCAGGCCGAGCCGGGCCGGGCTGCTCGTCGCTGCGAACCGGGCGGCGGAGCGGGGAGCGTAGCTGCCCTGCGTCACGGGAGGCTGGCGGCTGGCTCCGCCACCCCCTCCGGCAGCGGGACCGGCACCGCCGGCCGGACCGGCATCGGCACCGGCAACGGGACCAGCCCCGGTACCGGCACCGGCAGCGGGACCAGCCCCGGTACCGCCACCGGCAGCGGGACCAGCCGCGGCACCGGCTCCGCCACCCCCACAGGCAACGGGACCAGCCCGGGCACCATCACCCCCACCGGCACCGACGCCGGCATCAGCACCGGCACCGCCACCAGCCCCACCGCCGTCCCCTCCGCCTCCGTCCGGCGTGAGATTCACGGGTCTCAGGGAAAAAACCAAACCCCAGCAGCCGCCGGGAAAGTCGGCCCGGAAAGGAAATCCCGGGATCACCGGGAGGCTGGGCAGGGTTTGGGGTCGTTCCCGACGATTTCCCAGCACCCGCCGACAGGCAGCTGCTGGCAAGGGAAAATTTGGGGTGTTTCATCCACGGGACCCCCGAGAAAAGTCGCTTTGGATATATTTCCTCGCTGGCAGCCAGAGGTTTTCCTCACGGAAAGTGAAACCTCGGGATCAGCGTCCGAGCGAGATAAACCCTGCGTGGACATGGCAGAGCCCAGCTCTTGGGCCGGCCGGGGTTCACATCCCGGAGGAGCCACGGAAACGCCGCTCGCCTGACCAGGAATCTTGTTTTTTTATCCAGGGAATGTCGTTTTTAACCGGGGAATGTTGTTTTTAACTGGGGAATGTTGTTTTTAACAGGGGTGCCGGGATCGGGGGGGTCACTTGGACATACGGAACTTGGCGTCACCTCGTGAGGGATTTCTACTTCACCGTTTTTTTCTTTATTATTATTATTTCTCTGGGATACCGGCCAAGCCATTTCCCACGGCGCGTGGTGGTGATCCCGGAGCCGAGCGAGCCTGTGGTATTGCCGGGGGGGGGGAGTTGTTTTGGCTGGGGGGATTGCGTTCCGCTGTCCCCCCCTCCTCTTCCCGACGCGGGACCGGCCATGGCGTTGAAAGCCAGAGCGCTTTACAACTTCCAGAGCGAAAACAAAGAGGAGATCAGCATCCAGGAGAACGAGGAGCTCGTCATCTTCAGTGAGAACTCCCTGGACGGGTGGTTGCAGGGCCAAAACAGCCGCGGGGAGACCGGCCTCTTCCCTGCTTCCTACGTCGAGATCCTCCGCTCCCGGTCGGGCTCCAACTACACGGACTACTCCAGCAGCCCGGCCGGCTCCCCCGGGCACGACTCCTCCTTCTACTCAGCATCCCCCAATCCCGGCATCTCCTACCAGGGCAGTTTTGAGGACGACGATGATGATGATTGGGATGACTGGGACGATGCGTGCACGGTGGTGGAGGAGCCCCGGAGTGCCCCGGGTACCAACGGGCACCCCTCACCCAATCTGCAGTACCCGGCGGCCTATGGCCACCACCAGCATGCCGGTTACCGGCCCAAGCCGGCGCTGGAGAGGCAGGATAGCATGAGCTCCTCCAAGAGGGGCAGTGTGGTAGGGAGGAACCTCAACCGCTTCTCCTGCTTCGTCCGCTCAGGTGTGGAAGCCTTCATCTTGGGCGACGTGCCCCTGATGTCCAAGATCTCTGAGACATACTGCATCGAGATGGGCTCCAGAGGCCCCCAGTGGAGGGCGAACCCCCACCCCTTCATCTGCTCCGTGGAGGACCCCACCAAGCAAACCAAGTTCAAGGGCATCAAGAGCTACATCTCCTACAAGCTGACCCCCAGCAACATCAACTCGCCCGTGTACCGGCGGTACAAGCACTTCGACTGGCTCTACAACCGCCTCCTGCACAAGTTCACAGTGATCTCGGTGCCCCACCTGCCCGAGAAACAGGCCACCGGCCGCTTCGAGGAGGACTTCATTGAGAAGCGCAAGCGGCGACTGATCCTCTGGATGGACCACATGACCAGCCACCCTGTGCTCTCCCAGTACGAGGGCTTCCAGCACTTCCTCTGCTGCCGCGACGAGAAGCAGTGGAAGCTGGGCAAGCGCCGGGCGGAAAAGGATGAGATGGTGGGTGCCAGCTTCCTCCTCACCATCCAGATTCCCACGGAGCACCAGGACCTGCAGGACGTGGAGGACCGCGTGGACGCCTTCAAGGCCTTCAGCAAGAAGATGGACGACAGCGTCCTGCAGCTGACCAACGTGGCCTTGGAGCTGGTGCGCAAGCACGTGGGGGGCTTCCGGAAGGAGTTCCAGAAGCTGGGCAATGCCTTCCAAGCCATCAGCCACTCCTTCCACATGGACCCTCCCTACAGCTTGGATGCCCTCAACAACGCCATCTCCCACACAGGCAAGACATACGAGACCGTGGGGGAGATGTTTGCTGAGCAGCCCAAGAATGACCTGTTCCTCATGCTGGACACGCTTTCCTTGTACCAAGGGCTCCTCTCCAACTTCCCGGACATCATCCACCTCCAGAAAGGTAAGGAGGCCGCCTTCTCCCTGGGAACAACCCCATGTGAGTGGTAATGGTGTGGGGAGTGGTATGAGGATGCAATGAGGAAATCCTCTATTGGGCCATGAAAGGAATAGGAAATGAGGATGGGAATGAGAATGGAAACCGTTGCCCATGGCTCCTAGGGAAGCAGTGTTGTCCCCTCCAGTCACCCCAGCTGGGAGAGGCTGCTAGGGCTGTTGGGTCCAGGGTCTGCCCCAGTGATGCTGTGGCCTCCATAACTGCTGCTGGTGCTTCCTTTGGGGGGATCACCATGGGTGTCACTCGCTGCAGACCATTAGCAGGAGCCAGCACCACTGCTAGTGGCTCTGTGGTGACCTGCCTGGCACCCACTGCCACTTGTGCCTCCTCATCCTCCCTCCCTGCCGAGGCAGCAGATGGGTGGCCAGCAGGGATGCTGGAGCTTGCTCCCTCAGGGCTGGGACATGGCTGGATATGGCCTTGAGTGGGTTGGAGGAGCAGAGGGGGCTGTGCAGGGCAGTGGGATGGGGACATCCTGTGGGGATGACACACTGAACCTCCTGGGGACAACCAGGGTCACACTTTTCAGGAGTATGTCCCTGCACCTCTGAGCACAGGAGGAGTGGGTTAGCACCCCTGGGCTGTCAGAGCTCCCTACATCCCATTTGTCCAAGTTCCCTGGAGTTGGTGGGGTCAGAGGGGGTGAGAAGTGTCTGCTGTGCTCTTCCTGGGGTAGGCGGCAGGCAGGAGGGCTCGGTGTCCCTTTGGACCCAGGCTGACGCAGCTGGGTGTGGGAGCAGGGCTGAAGTCCACACACTCCTCCCAGCCCAGCTGCCCGCAGCAGGGAGGGGACACCCACACCAGCATCCCCAGATTTTGAGGGACAAGTTTTCCCCAGGGTGAAGCCAGGGCCGTCTGTGTCCAAGCATCCAGGGATGTCTGTGCATCACTGCATGTCCCTGGGGGAGGCTGGGAAGGCAAAGGGAGCAGGGAGAATACAATCCTGCCCCAGCAGCTTCTTTGCCTTTCCTCCCAGTGTTGTTTACCCCTGGAGAGGGGCTGGATCCCGTCCGGAAGCGAGGCTGCGTGGGCAGAGCGGAAGGCAGGATTTGGCCTCCAACCTTTGCTTCTTCCTCCTCCTCATCCTCTCTGCTGGGAGCAGGGTTAGGGCAGCGGGAGCACCATAACCCCGGGTCTGGTGCTCCCAGCAAGGGAGCAAGGGGCAAGGATAAGGGAAAAAAGCCCAGTGCAGGCCAGATCTTGTTTTTAGTTTTTTAGCCTCTGTGCTAATGAGGGGGAGGAATGCAGGGCTGGAGCCAGGCAGGATTCTTTCGAAACTGAGCTGTAAAAAAACATGGAGAGGGAAAAACTGGTGTCAGAGCATCAGCTGCTTCTGGGAGAGGGAGATGGTTTCCCAGCTGAGCTCCAGACAGCACCACAAGCCCTTCCCGATCCTGGTTCAATGCCTCCTGGTCTAGGGTCTCCCAGGGCTGCTCCTGACCCCCGTTTATGGGATACCGTGGAATATTTGGAGGGCAGGCTTGGCTGGGGTGCTTGGCTGTGCTAATGCTGCCCTGTGTTTTTAGCTTAGCATCCAAAGCCTTGAGTTGCAACCCTACAGGAGCCCAGACCCCAAAACCAGCTAAACATGAGGCTCTGTGCCCAGAGATGGGATGGAAAAGGGGCTGGGGAGACCAGAGACCAGGCTCCTGGTCTTTCCCTGCCTGGAGGAGAGGGATGGGTTTGATGGGTGCAGGGAGATGCACGTAGATCCCTCCTTTACTCATGCTGGGCAGCTCTCTGCCTCTGCTTTGGGTCCAGGCTGGTGCCCCAGCATGGAGGGCGGTGGGATCCACCAGGAAGGGCAGGGAAGGGGGCTGGAGGGTTGCGCAGATCCGCCAGCCTCACATCCTGCTCCCTGCCTTTGCCAGGCGCCTTCGCGAAGGTGAAGGAGAGCCAGCGGATGAGCGACGAGGGCAGGATGGACCAGGAGGAGGCTGACGGGATCCGCAAGCGCTGCCGCGTGGTGGGCTTTGCCCTGCAGGCCGAGATGAACCACTTCCACGAGCGCCGCGTGGCTGACTTCAAGAGGATGATGCAGTCCTACCTAAGACAGCAGATCGTCTTCTACCAGCGCGTCAGCCAGCAGCTGGAGAAGACACTGCGCATGTACGACAACCTCTAACGCCTCCACTCGCTCTGCCCGCAGCCTTCCATGCCTCCTCTGTCTGTGACAGACTCAGAACTAACAGGAACTCATCACGCTAGAGACCAAATAACTTTGGGCTTTCCTCCCCCTTCCCGGGCCTGTGGGGAAGGGCTCGCCCGTGGGTTGGCCCTGCCACCTCTTTCCCTGGGGACCTCCCGCCCTGCCGTGGGTCCGGTGGGGGCACGGGAGGCTCACAAGAGGGACAGATGTGGAGGTTAATGGCGCTGGGGTCTCTGCCCAGTGATTTTTAGCTTTCTGAAAACCCACTCTCCTGGAGCGGAGGCAGGTGCATCCCGGCCCGCTGGGAGAAGAAATCCAAGCGGTCAACATTTTGCACACTAAAAGCTTTTCTGATGGAAAAAAGAGAAGAAAAACAGATCTTTATTTGGAAGAGATTTTTTTTGTTTGTTTGTCATGAGATATTTTCAATATTTTCCATTTTTCTGCAGCATTTTTACTGATCAGTTTTTAACTAGATGCACAGAGGCGAAGGGAAATCTCTTTCTCGAGCATGGCTGCTGACTGGGAAAAGGGAGAAAAAAAAAAAAGGGAAAAAAAAAAAAGCCCCACAGCCTTTTCAATAAAATTGTTGGTAGAAAAACACCTACCTGCTTCCCAGAGATGTGTGTGGAAAATGGAACTGCTTCAGGATCCTGGGGACAGCTCTGCGTCCGAGCATCCCCTGACTTCCAGTCAGCTTCAAACATCCCTGTGCTGTGGGGGGAATGATCCTGGGAGGGGATCCCACAGTGACCACCCTCCTGCTCTCCAAGCAACCCACCAAGGGGCAAATCCTGCCCTGCTTTGCACTGCTCGGGGCCTGGGGCAGCGTGCGGCTGCCTGGGAGGCAGCGGGGCTGGCACGGGGGCCTTGTTTTTGAAGGGAAATGGCTGGGATAAATCACAGCGAGGAAAGTTAGGGCTGCCTTGGCCTGGCTCCAGGGATAAAATTAGCCCCAGCATGCAGGCCAGCAGGGTATTGTTAAACTAACAGCGACACTGGGAATGTGGCGGCTGCGCTCCATCCTCCCGGAGCCCTCCCCAGCCTGCACGCTGAAGCACAGCCGGCGGTGGTGCACATCCTCCCTCCTGTGTCCGGCAGCCAAGGCAGTCCCCTTCCCATGACCCCGTCCCACATCCTACCCCAACCTCATCCCACCCTGTCCGCATCCTGCATTGGCTCCATCCTACCCCATTCACATCACACCCTGGCACCATCTCACCCCAACCCCATCCCATCCCAACCCCATCCTACTCTACTCTCATCCCACCCTACCCAGGCTGCATCCTTCTGTGGCGCTATCCCACACCATTCCTATCCCATCTCATCCCCATCCCACTCTGGCCCCATCCTATCCGAACCCCATCCTACTGCAGCTCCATCCTACCCTGGCCAGATACTGCCTTGGCCCCACCCCACCCTGGTCCTGTCCTATCCCAGCCCCATCCCATCCCAGCCTCATCCCACCCTGGCCACCTCCTTCCTTGTCCCCATCCCACCCCAGCAGCCATGGGAATGCTGTCTGACCCCTGTGTTAATCCCACTGGAGTGACTGGTCTCTGGCCCTGCTGGTCACGCTATGGATGACTGTGGTGGCCTTGGCCCCATGTCGAGGCCAGATGCTGTGGGATGGTGTGTCCCTTCCCCCAGACCCGCTCCCTCGGGAAGCACAATGGGCACTGGGATTGAGCCTGCCACTGCCATCCCCGGGCAGGCAGCCAGCCTCTGGCACTGCAAGCAGCCTCCGGAGCTGTGTCAGCGTCCCAGCTTCCCTGGACCTGCCTGGGCAAGGGGATTCCTCTGCCTGGGATCCCCCATGGCAGCACAGTCCCCCTGATGTTCTGAAGACAAGGATGTGCAGCTGGAGTGAAGAGGTGTCCCAGTGCCCCATCCTCTGCTCTGCTCTCCTGGCATGGGGATGGGGATGGGATAGGGTCCCTGCAGGCTGCATGCACTCCTTTGGAAGGCTTGTGCCTCAGTTTCCCCAAGGGTGGACCTGTGCTCTCTGTGGTCCTTCGGCACCCACAAAGGTCTCCCTGCCCCACCAGCCATCCCTCTCTGTACCCTCACGTCTGGACCATGCTCCCAGGGTACAGCCAACCCACTGGCTGGGAGAATCTGTATCCCATTAACATTCCTGCCTTTTCCCTCTGCCACTGGCAGCGGGCAGCTGGGCCCTCTCTGCCCATGGGCAAGCATTTCAGGGTCTGGCCCTGCCTTGGCCAGATGGGGGACTTGAGAATCCTCCTGCTTCTCTCCATATCTACAGGAGCATCCTGCAAATGTGCCAATGTTTGGAGGATGGAACTGGCTCCAAGCATCCTGGTGGCTGTCCCAGTGCTCCTGCTGCTGAGTGGGCACCCAGGGTGCAGGGTGACAGTGGAGGGGGCCCTGGGGGTACACAGAGTGCTCCACGTGCACCCGTGGTGTCAGCCACTGCCTTTATTATCTGTGACACAGGCTGTTCCCTGCTCCCACAAGAGGAAAAAAAAAACCAGAAAAAAGCACAGGGCTGAGAGGAAACAGCAGGAACACAGAGCAGATCTGCTTCCTCCTCCCACTTCCCAAGGCTGCTCCTGCGTGGGAAAGCCAAGGCCAGGGTCCTGTGTGAGTCTTGCCAGCATGAAAGCAGGTTTTGGAGGCAGCAGTGGTGGCTGGGGCATCCACCCTGGAGAGCCCCACAGCCAGCACCAGAGAGCCCATCGTTGCTTCCATTCCTGCAGGTGGCTTCTGGGAGCTCTTGTCTTGCTGCTCTTTGGGCCTCTCTCCACCGTGGAAAGAAAAGCTGGCATCCTTGGATTGAGCTCTGGGAGACCATGGTTTGTAAGTGGACCAGGCCAGCAGGCTGTAGGGCCAAGCTGCATCCAAAACCCCTGAACAGGCATCCTGAGACCAACAAGATGCTCAAGGGTGGGGGGACCCATTTTGGGTGCAGGATCAGCTGGGGACCAGCCGAGCAGCTGGAAGGTAGAGGATGGGGATGCTGGGACAAGCAGAGCTGCTGATCAGAGGCTTGTGAGCCACATGGACACACCCACCAGTGTTCGATAATTCGGGATCAGCTGCCAAAGAACCGCAGTGAACCCAACCCAGCTCCTCCCACGGCAAAGGGGAGTGCAGCTCTTGGTGGGGCAGGCGGGCAGGATGGGGCTTGCCATGCATGCCATGCTGCTGGCACATGTTGGCAAGCATCTTGGAGAGGCACAGCTGCCAATGGGGAGCGGGGAGCAGTCCCAGGGGAGTGGGGAGAAGTCCTGCCTGCCTGTTGGGGCTGGCAGCAGCTCTGGGGTTGGGAATGAGTGGGATTTCACTGCAATCCCCACCGTGTCAAGAGGTAGACTGTGTGCCTGTGTAGAGGAGCAATCCAGGTGGATGCAGGCATGGGGTGGCAATGGATCCTGCAGAGGGAGACAGCTCAGACTGCCAGCTCCAATCTTTTAATTGCTGCACTTCTCAAATATTTCCGAAGCATGACCCTGAGTCGGCTCCTCCAGGCAAGGATACGAGCACCAGCTGGTTCTCTTGGCTGCATCTATAAATGCTACCTCCTGCTCCCAGCCCAGGGCAATTATGGCAGATCAGTAGTGCCTGTGCTAGGGAATGAGCTTGGAACTACCTTTAATTGGGGTATGCCAGCCCTCCTTGTTCCCTTGCTGCTGGTTTCCCCTCCCAGCCACAGCCAAAGTGATGCTCAGGTCAGACCCTGTCCCAGCTCTCCATGCCAGCCTGGATTCCCTCTTTCCAGTGGCTGGGAAGGCATTGAGCCTGGGAAGTAGGCCCTGTGCTATGGGGGAGCTGTGTTTCTGGGCGTGTTATTTGTGCAGGAGGGGTGGAGAGACCAGGCTCTGGGATGTGGTTATCCCTCTGTCATTGTCTATCTGCTGTGGAGTTGCTGGATGTGGAAACAGAGGTCAGGCTCAATTTGCCTAAAATTTAAATTGCAGTGAGGCTGGGGAGCCATGGTGGGCAGCAGGTGCAATGGGGGATGCTTTCTGGTGTCAGGTCCTCGCCACTTCATACTTTCCCTCGGACCTGTGAAGCTCCTCTGGCTCTGCAGCTCAAATCCCTGTGCTTTATCCCTCGTGGGCAAGATGGTGAGAGAGATGCCAGGTTCCTGGGGACAACACTGTCCCTGTGTGGGTTTGTTTGAGGTGCTCCCAGGGTGACGTGCCAGATCTTCCCCCAGGCTCCATCCTGTCCTGCCAGGCTTGCTGCCAGCTGAGCCTGTTCTGCAGGCTGTGGGCATGACTGGCCTGAATCAGGCAGGCACGTAGCAGGGAGGGAGGGAGGGTTCCCAGCATCCTGGGGTACTGAGTTTGGCTTGGAGCTGAGCGGAGGTGCTGACTTTTTGTCACACTATGCAGCTGCCCCCTCCCCCCTCCCCCCAAGACTGCTTCTCATTGCTTGCCATCAGGGAGTGTGACCCATGCCCCCCTGAAGGGACCCTGGGCTCCCAGGGAAGTGTAGAGCATCTCCTGGGGCTGGTGAGAGCTGCCAGGGAGGTTTTGGGATTGGGAGAGGGAGGAAGGAGCCCTGGACCATCCCCCCCAAAACAGCGTGAGGCTGCCTGGCTGAGCTCAGGGGGGGTTCATGTTCTTGCTGTGCTTCTGTCCCCAGGAGAAGTGTGGACAACGTCACCCCAAAGTCCTACAGCTGTGGTGGGATTTTGGAGGCTGGGGATATGATGCTTACACGGGTCCCAGTCTCCTGTGCTGGCCTGAAGCCTGGCTGGGAATAAAGTCCCTCATTTGTCGAACCCTGCATTTGCATGGCTACAGCTTGCCGGGAGGGTTTCCGAGCCAAAGGATCCTACTTGCCCTGGGTGGATTCTTTGTTTGCATTTGAATAGGTGTCTGGAAACTGGTTCAGTCACCAGAGCTGTGACTGCCTCCCCTCCTGCTCTGTGTTCATCCCTACCTGTGAGCCCTAGTGCCTCCAGGCTCTTGTTGAAACCTGACCTGCGCCTACAGTGCTGGTGTTATTAACCCAGGGGAGGTGTTGGATCCAGCCTGCCACAGGTGAGATGGCTCTGGGGTTATGGTTCCCTTCCCACTTCCAAAGTGCTCTCTGAGGACTCTGGGGACAGGCTGGGCAAGCTGGGGTTGTTCAGCCTGGAGAAGAGAAGGCTCTGGAGAGACCTTCAGAGTCCCTTCCAGTGCCTAAAGGGGCTCCAGGAGAGCTGGAGAGGGACTTTGGACAAGGGACTGGAGTGACAGGCCAAGGGGCAATGGCTTCATACTGAGAGAGGACAGGGTTAGATGGGATATTGGGAAGAAATTCTTCCCTGTGAGGGTGGGAAGGCCCTGGCACAGGTTGCCCAGAGAAGCTGTGGCTGCCCCATCCCTGGAAGTGTTCAAGGCCAGGTCAGATGGGGCTTGGAGCAACCTGGGATAGTGGAAGATGTCCCTGCCCGTGGCAGGGAGGTGGAACAAGATGACCTTTGAGGTCCCTTCCAACCCAAACCATGCCATGATCTTCCCTAAACCTCTGCAAACTTTATAGCCAGCTTGGCAGGGGAGGGTGCCGGGGAAGCCAAAGGGCCTGGCCAGGAAACTTTTGAGCTTGTTTGCGCTGTGGTTTGTCTATTTCATGTCCAGACTGGACCCTCAGTCCTTCTCCA